TGGTGAGATCACAGGACAGGAAGGAGCATAAACAAACATTAATGGTGGCAGATGGATTAAGTCAGTGATGACCAAATGAGGTAGATAATTGGAGCAGAACAAAATGGAATGAGTTTTTTTTTAATTGGATGAAATTTCTACTATTGAAGCAAAAGCAGCAAATATTTCTGCACATACCACAGCTAAAATCCAAGGATTAGATGTAAAGTGTTTCAATTTAACAATACCTAAAGAGTTAGTGTTAAAACTCTGGCTTTCATTAAAAATGTTTTCTTTATGACCTAAGCATGATTTACATTCATTTTGGTGACATCAAAGGCAAGTAAGTGTTAAAAAGTAATTAAGCTGCTTTTAGCTTGATAAAATCTGATGGCAATAATCTGAGTAATACAGGGCTTCATGTTGGCTATATAATCAACAGTTTGGGTTCTGACTTTCCCCAAGGCCATTCTTACTACAATTAAGAACATTATTCTTACATTCACTCACAAAAATCCCACACCGAACCCCTCCTGTATATATACATGGCTTGCTAGGGCCAAGATTATTAAGGCAAATAAGGTAGCATAAGGCAGAAAAGAACCACACCCTAGATGAGCCAACAGGGAGGTAAAGAAATCACGATCTAGAACTATGTCATAAAGGCAATAATAAAGATTTGAACAACACCCTATACTAGCCTAGAGAAGGCATCTGTCTTGAGAAAGTAGAACCATGTAAGGAGAGGGAGTAGTACTATCATCTGAGCTGGTTCTTAAAGGGAAAGCTACATTCTTCTGGAAGAAAAAAGGTCTGACTTTCCAACAGCTGTAAAGACAGAGAAAAAGAAAAGATTGAGGGTCTGTGAGCAGGAGGAGGTGTAAATAGGCTACAAAGGGTTCCCCATGGCATGTGCATGGATAGTAAGTTGGCAAAGGTGTTTTGCTTGACCAGCAGAGTATTTTTTGTTTGTAATTAATATCCATGTGAATATCTTTAAAGCAGTACCTGCCCACCAGCTGCCAATTCAATCCCCACTACATCTTTAGCTGTCACCCAGGGTTTCTCACAAGCCTGGTCCCTGGATACATCTGAGTTTATATTGCCTGTTACATTTCTGGAGGGAGTCACTGAGAGCATGGTGGGGAGACGGGCAGTGACACAGTGAACTGTCTTAGAAAGATGATGTCAAAAAAAAAAAAAAAAGGATGATGTCATTTGTGGAGGGTTAAAATACTTCTAGACACTCCTTCTAAGTAGGAAATCAAAACAGAAAGTATGTGTTTTATAATTCAGTGAAAGGCTAAACAACTTATTTATACTCTGGAATAATTGAGAGCAGTGTAAAACTGATGAGATACAGCTAACAGGTTAACTTGGGCAGTTTCAATTGATTTCTGGAGTGGGAGGGTTAGTATGAGCATTACTAGTATTCTAGCCTTATTAGTAAAGGGTTATTTTTTTTAAAGAACGTATTTGTACATTATATAATTAACATTTTAAAATAATTAACATTTTTAAAGGGAAAGAAGTTTGGGGTCAGTCATGGATGATAAATTATAGAGGAAAGAAACTGGAGACATGGAGATAAAATTACAAAGCAATAGCCCAGACATGAACAAAGTCTAAACCAATTGGAAAATGAAAAGACCAGTATATAAGAGAAACTAGAGATAAAAATTATAGGATATGGTAAAAGAATGGAAAAGTTAACTCCACAATTCTTAACTTTTTGAATTTCCCAATCTACCTTCTAAATGTAAGGTGAACTCTATTACAAATGACTATGAAATTGGAATATCTTGGCAACCAAGGTGGGGAACAATGCATGTCTAGAGTACTGCCTGTTTTCAAACAAAAACCAATTTTCTCTCTATGGTTCCTTTGATTTTCAAGAGATAGCTTCCCAACAATTACTAGCAATTTTTAATCTCCTTTCTAGCATCGAAATAAACTGTTAAGTATTCAGGGATAACCTGAAAAACAAAAACAAACAAACCTCAAAGTTACATAGTGTTTTTAGGGACTATAGCATCACAAAGATCTAAATTTGCATCTCACTACCCCCATTTCTCAGCTGTGGAACTGATAGTACAATCCTTTAGTCTCCTTGAGCCTCACTTTGTCTATAAATAGGGCCAATAAGTACCTCAAAAGATTGTCTGTAGGATTAAATGAAAAAAGATAAAAATGTTTAGCAGAAAACACACTCCTGATAAACACTCATTCCTTAACCATACACAGAAGATTAGTTTGGATATCAATGATATGATTTGGGCGGGGGTGGGGAGGTGTAATGTGAAGAAAATTTGCTATCTATCAAGGGCCTTAAATATGTTGAAGGGGCATGGTTAAGTGCTGGCTGCTAACTGAAAGGGATGGTTCCAAGTTAGGAAGATGAAGCAGCTTCCATAAAGGCTATAGCGTTTGAAACCAGAGGCTAATTCCATTCTGGCCCATAGGTGCCTATGCATTGGAATTCCATTCATTGGCAATGGGTTTCCCTTTTTTCCCTTAAATACCAGGGGGCTTTAAAAAGATTATATTAAAAAAAAATCCCATTGTCTTTTAATTCTACTTTTCCACAAACTTTTTGAAGCACTTTTATGTATTTATGCCTTATAGTTCCACAGTATTACTTTTTATATTCCACAATACCATTTCTGGGGATAACCCTAAGAAATAATACTAAACACAAAAAGGCTTTATTCATAAAAATGCTCTCACCAAAACATGATTGTTAAAGCCTTACATCTAAAGCATTATCTAATGAAAAACAAAACACAAAACAAACTAACCAGCCATATATTTAGGAGGTTTTCTTACAGAGCATTTATTGTTTTCCTTCTAATTATGAAAGCAAACATGTTATCCTGTGCAAAATACAGAAAAGCACTAGGAAAATTAAAGTCACCCAAAACACAAAGTTTATATAATAAAAAAGCAAAATTCAAAACTGAAAATATAGTGTAAATTCAGTAACATCTTAAAATTCTAAAAATATTAGAAGAGTAGGTATCAGAGATTACAAGCATGAATTTTTGGGTAATATTACAATTAATTTCTACATTTTGTTTAATATGTAAATAGCCATGCAATACTTAAGACTGAGAAAGCAAATCATCATATAATTCTAATCTGAAAAAATATATTCTAATCTAACCCTATAACGCCGGAATTTTTAATGTCAGGAAAAAAATTTTTTTGTTTTTATTCTTTACTTTCATAGTTATCAATATATTAATTAAATTAATTGTTATGAAAATGTCACCCTAGGCGTTATAGGGCTAAGAAAATAACTCAACTCTGATATATAAATCATAAAATCCAAGTGATAATGTAAATTCTGATAGAGTATCAAATATTCTAATATCTAGACAAAGAAATTAATAGTGAGTCCATCTTAATTTTTTTTAATCAGAAAGGAAAAATCCTCCCAAACCAAAAAAACGTTAAGTATTATAAAAACTCATACAAAGGGCCAGAATAGATATCTGAAAGAAATAGGGACATTAACTTAATACAGATTTCTAAACATTAAAAACACTGAGAAAAATGCATAGGTTTCAGTCCTCAAAGATCTTTGAGTTGGAGACATAAGTCATACCTTGTTACAAATCTGTAACAAGAAAGACTGTCACAAACATTCCAGAAGAGAGATCCACCAAGTGCTAAAGAAGAACAGAAATAAGAAACTTAAGCTAGGGATTCAGAAAGGTTTTAGAGAAGTGGTAGCACCTAGGGTGCGAGGACTTTATAGGATTTCAGTGGGTTGCAACATTAAAAGTAAACGGTAACGGGGGAAGAAAAGCAGTGAAAGCCAAAAAGTACACGAGGGCTACAAAAAGTTCATGGGAAAGTAGAATGAAAACATAATGGAATTTTTAACTTTCTGAAGGCCCATCATACAAGCAAAGTTTGAGGATCACCAAATCAGGGTTGTAAATACCCTTTACATAAATTGCTGCAACTATGAGACAATCCTCAAAGGTCTTATCTATAATTTGGTCTCCTGAGTAAACCAGGAGGGGGAGCTCTATGCAGCCCTCTGGATAGCTATATCTCCCACTGTAAATTAATAACCTTGCATATGGATTTACAAATCAGTCTCTAGGGAGTTTGGTAAGAGAGAATCAGTCCCCATGAGCTTGATTACCCCCGAAGTCACTAGAAAAATGGAGTTTCTGTCCTTGCAAAACTGAGAAAGGTCACATTACTTGAGTCACGATCATACAATCAGTTAGGTTTTTAAGCTTTTTATGAAACAGGATAAAAGACACTTTGGCTGGGGGACTGGAAGGGAGAAGGCGGGGCTTAAAAACTACCAACCTGTCAAAGGCAGTAGAAAACTGAGAAGCAACAACAGGTGTTATATCCCCCAGGCCTTGTGGAAGCAAAGCCTACAGGAACCCACCCCAGCTGTTGAGAGTATCACTAACAGAAAATGCTGTTACTTATCCACCATTTACTGTGTGCTAGTGGAGTTGTGTGGTGGTGGATAGGAGAACTAAATCACCCAGAGCAAGTTGGGAATGAGACTCAGGCAAGTGAGTACTAAGAGAATGAGCCCATGGCTTGCAGGGAGTAAGTGAAACAAGTCCTTTTAAAACAAATGGAAAAAAAAGGAAAGATCTGATTGTGTATTAAAGGGAGAGGAAACAGCACAAAAATGACCAGTGCACACTGTAATCATAATATATGGTAGACATAAGGCACAGACCTAAAATATATAGACTATAGAAGCTAATTAAGATAGCACAATAAAAAATTATAGGAGCCCTGGTGGTATAGTGGTTATGTGTTGGGCTACTAACCACAAGGTCAACAGTTCAAAACCACCAGCTGCTCTGTGGGAGAAAGATAAGGCTTTCTATCCCCATAAAGAATTAGTCTTGGAAACTCACAAGAGGCAGTGCTACCCTGTCCTACAGAGTCCCCATAAGTTGGAATCAACTCAATGGCAGTGATATTAAAAAGTACACATACATGCACATATAAAATAAGATACACTTGGAAAAAATACTAATAAGCTATAGGAAGCACTTTAGTGTCTGAAAAAGTCAAACTGTGACTTAGGGTTTCTTTTTTTTTTTTTTAATTAGCAATAATCGTGCCTCGGATAAACCTCACTGGTTATGATATTGCCACTGCACAAAGCTAGGGTTTCAATAATAGATCTGGTTCTATGAGAAAGTTAAGATGGAAAGTGTGTTTAAGGTGCCTCACAATTAAATAGTATATGAGGGGGTTCCCAAAAGCTCATGAAAAATGGAATTAAAAGGTAATCAATTTTCCACGAACTTCTGGAAGCCCCTGTATATACTTACTGTCAGATACATCTCACTTTTATTTACTCTTCTCTAAACCATACACAGATCCACAAAAAGATATTCTAGTTACTTTAATAAGCAGAGAATAAACTATTACAGTATGGATATTTTTATTAAGCTTTTGGAATTATAAGCAAAGGACACTTATGGATAAACCTTTAATGCTACAAGCTTCCATTTCCTACAGTAGATGGACAAGAAATAACAAATTGCTACCTTAAAAACATAGTACTGTCCTGGACATTGGTAAAATAATACACTGTCTACAGAGTAGAGAGGTATTTTAGAACCCACCTAATCTGAGAGCGAGGAAAGGTTGGATGTAGAAGAGGGGGTTTAATAAAAAGGCAGATACACTTTCACCTCTTTTGGAAAACTCCCAGACAGATACAAGAAACCTGGTCTTAGCCTGAACACTCCAACAATTGTTCCATTATCTAGAACCAAAGAAAGAAGTGTTTAGAGTCCACCCTTTCCTAAGACAGAGATGAAAGACAAGGGATAAAAAATAAGGTAGATATACTTTCACTCCTCTAGCAAGCTGAGTAGCTGAGACACAGAAGATACACATTCAAAACAAACTGATGCTTCTATCTAAAGCACCGTTTAATTCTATCATACAAGGATGGCTTATTTAACAAAATACTGGCCCTGCCACAGCTGGTTAATGCAAGAAAAAAAGAAAGATCTTCCACCTCACATGCCAAGCACAGAAATATTCTGGATGGGCCAAAGATCTAAAGGTAAAAATAAGCAAATGAAAACATTAGAAAGCAAGTTTGAAGGATATTTATGTAGGTTTAAGACGGAAGCAATTTTGTAAAACAAAGTAAACCCAGAAGCCATAGGAAAAAATCGAAGAAATTTGATATAAAGTCAAAAGACAAATGAGAAAAAAAATAACTAGAACACACTTGATAAGTAAAGGGGGTTAATACCTATAAAATTCAGAGAATGTAAGTGGGAGATATACACATAATTTATAAAAGAAACTTAAAAGGCCAATATACACAGAAAAAGACAATCATAGAAATATAGAAATGCTAGATTATTACACACACGCACGCACACACATTCGACTGGCAAAAAGTCAGAAAGACTGATGGCGAGACTGGATGACAAGAGCAGTTAGAAATAAACACTTTATCTACATACCTGTTGTGAAATGCCATCATGTCTGTTCCGACTCACAATGACTCATGTACAACAGAATGAAACAAGGCCTGCTTCTGCACCACCCTCACACATTGTTCTTACGGTTGAGCCTATTGTTGCAGTCACTGTGTCAGTCCATTTTCTCAAGGGCCTTCCTTTCCACTTCCTTTCCACTTGACCAAGCATGAGGTCCTTCTCAATGGGTGGTCTCTCCCTACAACGTGTCCAAAGTGCGTGAGATGAGATATAGCCATCCTTCTGGCTATACTTCTTCCAAGACAGATGTTTGTTCTTTTATTTTTTTATTAAATACTTTTATTGGGGGGCTCTAACATCTCTTATCACAATCCATATATTCATCCACTGGGTCAAGCACATTTGCACATATGCCGCCATCATCATTTTCAAAGCATTTTCTTTCTACTTGAGCCCTTGATATCAACTCATTTTTCCCTCTCACTTCCCCACCTGCCCTCCCTCATGAACCCTTGATAAAGTTACAGATTATTTTCATATGATCTGTTTGTTCTTTTTGACAGTCCATAGTACTTTCAATATTTTTTTACCAGCAACATAATTCAAAAATATGAATTCTTCTTCAATCTTCCTTATTCAATGTCCAACTTTCACATGCATATGAGGCAACTGAAAATACCATGACTTGGGTCAGGAGCACCTTAATCCTGGGTCAGGAGCACCTTGGTCCTCCCTCAAAGTAACATTCTAGTTTTTCAACACTTCAAAGAGGTCTTTTGCTGTCTATTTATTCAACATAGTGTGTGAATTGATCTCTTGACTGTTGCTTCCAAGGGCATTGATTGTGGATCTAAGCAAGACAAAATCCTTGACAACTTAAATATTTTCTGCTTACCATGATGTTACCTACTAGCTCAGTTGTGAGGATTTTGGTTTTCATTTTTCTTTTTTTAATCATTTTATTAGGGGCTCATACAACTCTTATCACAATCCATACACACATCAATTGTGTAAAGCGCATTTGTACATGCATTGCCCTCATCATTCTCAAAACATTTCCTCTCCACTTAAGCCGCTGGCATTAGGTCCTCATTTTTCCCCTCCCTC